GCCCAAACATGCAAAATGCATAAACATGCCAAACTGAATTAAACAAACTAATATGGAGTGTGTTTACAAAAAGAATCTACAGTATGGTAACAAGTTCCATCATTCCCGCAGAGTAACAGAACAATGGAAATAACAACTGTTGTTTCTATAGGAAACCAACCTCTAGTCTGGTCAGTTATTTGGAAAAACAATAAACATTTCATTTTATGCTGTTTGCTTTGGCATGAAGGGGGATAAGACATCCTCCTCTTTATGCCAAAGTAAAAGGCTCATCTCTCAATGAACATGCCCTAGTGCACATCCACTAAATTAAGGTGTCACACTGCCTACTGGAATGGCACAAGCTGAAATCTACCTGTCTCCCATCTCCAGGAAATATATTACTCCCATCAGTTTACTTCTGTAAAAGGATCTTGATATTTTTAAGAGGAAGAAGGGGAAAGCATAATCTCATTATACTTCTTATAAAAATCTCATATATGCTCTGTGGGCAGAGCAGGTGAAGATGTATGAGGATTTTGCATGACTGCAGGGTTCACCTAAATTAAGGCCTGAGAAATTAGGTGATTTCTGGACAGTGGGGATAATCTTCAGCTTCGTAAAGCTTCTGGAGAGTTGATCCCATCTTTGAGGGGTTAACGGGTCCAAAGCTTTATCCTTTTATTTTTCATTTAATCCATTTAGCTGGCTTGGGTTTCTGTATTTTGCTGCTCAACACTTGTAATATCCTTGAAAACAGCAACTCTGGTGAATATCCCTCTGTACAGTATGTAGAAGTCAAAAAGCGGATGATTTTTATTGAAGCTTCAAATTGCTCCTGCAGAAAGCTATGCAAGTCTCAGCAAAACTGAAATACCCATAATTTAGAAACAGGGCAACTTTAGCAATTGTGTGCAATATAGTGTAATAAAAGGTTCTGTTGCCCATCTTATATGGCAACCTAATAACAAAGTTCTACACACCCCTCACCTTCTAAATGTGTAATTTTTAAAAGCAGTTTTATTGTCTAGAAATTGTTTCAGTCAATGCTATAATATTCCATTAAGTCCATCAGATTATATCCTAAAATGAAGTATTGATGCACAAGTTGTCCGTGACATTTTAGTGATGTGTGGAGAAGACTGGCTTCATGGACAGAGGTTTTAGGGGTGTTGATTTAGAGAGGAGATTGAGAAGGATCTGACGCCGTGGAGGGGTAGGTATTAGAGCGGCCTGCATGAGTAATCCCGTTGACCCCCTGAACCCTCACCCTAAACCTTGTCTGCTTCTGAGCAGCCCACAATCTTTACAGTTCAGTCAAACTACAACATAAAAAGGCTTACCTCGCCAAATCCATGTCTCTGACAAACATGAGCATGTGCATGTCTGCCTGAGAAGTGTATGATTTTGTAGAGACTTTTAAACACGTCAGATCACATTCCTGCAATGTGAAACTTAATTCTAACACGAAACACAGATTAACATGGTGATCAAAGCGATCTGTTAATTACATTAAAGATCGCACTCTACAAAATAAGAGCATAATTTAGTTGAAAATGCCATACTAATCTAAATAATTAACAGTAACTGTATAGATTGTTATTTGGTATGAATATGTACACATTTGATTAATCAGAGCCTTGATTTCTGCTTTTAATGTTGAAATTTTAAACTAAATTTTAGTTTATAGGTTGAATTTTTTAATTTGCCTGGCTTGATCATGTACAATACAGTAGTAAAAAAAGAAAAAAAAACTAAAAAAGAAATAACATTTAATGCACTGACAATATAGGTTTACTATTTTCCTGCAGATTGTATTGTAAAAATTTTTTCCTAATTTACAATTGGACAAGTATATTAAAGTGTCTGTAGCCTGTAATTTATGGGTGTTTCATTAATCTGTTCACTGACAACATCTGGTGTTAAAATATAATAGTTAAAGGGATAGTTCACTCAATAATGATTATATCCTCATCATTTATTCCCCCACATGTGGTTTTAATTCTTTATGAGTTTTTTTTTCTTCTGTAAAACACAAATGAAGATATTTAAACAAAAAATGCTGGTTGCTGGAACCCAGATCAACTTTCATAGTAGGGAAAAATAGTATACTTTGGTCATGCAAATTATGGACTCCTAATGCTTAATTTCACTAACTACATCACTTCTTTTACCTGATAATAATCAGCTTGTATTGTATAATATAATTGTTGGCACACAAAAGTATAAAAGCAATGCAGTCACCATGGGTCACGCTGATCATTCAGACATTACAAAGCATTATCCTTGTTTAGTCTTGCCGTGCCTTTTGATCCTTGCCTTGCTTCTTTCATTCTTTTATGCTGTTTGCTCCCTGCACTGAACTCTTTGGCTGTGACCATGACTACTCTGGATTACCCTTATGCTTATGTTTGTTCCTGTTTGACCATTGCCTGTCTGACTATTCTCTTAATAAATCTCCACGTGGATCCACACGTCCGTTGTCAAGCGTCAACCATGTTACAAATATAGTACATGATATTGTTGATCTATAGGTCACAGTTTCTTCTCATTATTTTTTGTTCAGTTAGTTAGTTAAAGGTTTAACCTTATGATTTAAATTACACAAATACTTTACAAATAAAAACATTTGGGGTGTGGGATGTGCTGAGGTGACATGATGGGATTTTCATTTTTGTTTTCTTTTGCAAAGCTTTCTGCACAACAACAAAATCTATGAAAAAATATAATAGAACAAAGTCGAATAAAATACAGTAACAATTGATCTGGGGTGGGTAAAACAGCATTTAAATAAATAAATAAATAAATAAATAATATTTTAATCCTTGTATCCTTGATTTGAACTTGTGAAATATTTAAGACTTTCACAATGTCTTTGATATTTAAAGCATTGGGGATAGCCCGTATTATCTAAACCAGTTTTCTAAATATATGAAGACAAAAAAAAAAAAGTCTTCTCTGCCCGTTTCCCCCACACGCGTCCTGGTTGGAGATTAATGAGCTGCTCTGGCCTGACAGCTTGCATGTCTGTGCTAGAGAGAAGAGTGGGCAGACGCTTGATTAAATGGAGGGGCCGTGCGTGTTTGTGTATAAGCATACAAAGACGTGATCCAAGCTCGTGCAGTGATAGAGACAGCATTGAGAATGGGGGAGGTAAATCTGAATGAGGATAACACACCTACAATTCCCTCCCTACCATCGGGATATCCATCATTTAATCTACTTCAGCTCAGGGTATATGGGTAATATTTCTTGACCTGTGATTACACTAACAGCCTATTGTTTGAACAGTGAACAATACCATTACTGTATGTACAATACCATCTGTTTACGTGATGTAAAGCTCTGCAAAATTTAGACAGCACACTTTGAGAAACCAATTTTAAATAATAGCAATAAGGAATAAGGTCTTTTTTCATTTATTTTTGCTCTGCTTGCTCATTTAATGTACCAGAAAGCCTGGTAAGATACATTATTCAATTAAAGAGTTCTTCTTAAACGTTATTTATGGTGACAGGTAATTCAGCTAATATAGATAAACATAATAACAACACAAGATAAAATATATATAAAAATAAATCTGTAGAAATTGCTTTGTAAAATTGCATATAAAGTTCATAATTTGATGGCATTTTGTCATATAGAGTGAACAAGGAAGATCAGCAGTCTTTTAAAGATGTAATCTGTATTTTTGCAATCATCAAATAGTAGTGGCTTATGAATTTTGAATATTTTTGGAGGCTAATAATAGGAGATTATTCAATTGCAGTCTGTACATCTGGATCAAGCCTGGTATAGAAAGTTACAGGTGTGGATCATAGATTATGCTGTGATTCAGATAAAGGTCAAAGCTGTGGAATAGTACACTTACAATCTGTTGATTCCCTGCAGTCCAGCGTGGCAACTGTCTGAGCTTTCACTGTCAAAGCGAGCTAGCTGGCACTAGTAAGTGACTCATTGAGATGTATAAATCCCATGTGACACCAAAAAAATAGATGGCTTTTGGCAAGCTGCCCCATACCATTTTGTGTGCTGCTGGTTAATTGGACTGCCCCACTTCACGTTTTCCCTATGCACTACTATTAGAGGCTACATAAACTGTAATTATTCAACTACTAGTTGGTTTGCAAACTTCGCAGAAACTTCAAATCTTGAAAAGAGAAAAGAGAATGTAAAAAAAGAGGAAAAACTGGCATTGATTATATTTGTACCACGTCTAAATCTAGATTTTTTTTGTCTTGATGGATCTCTCAGTAATCTTTCAGCTATGCATCAGCATGCAGATTGCTATTGATAATAGTTTTACATTATGTACACAACTCAAACCCTTTGTTTCCACTGTCGTAAGCTGTGGTTCCAGCCAAAGCATTATCAGTTCAGTCCAAGTGCAACTTTTTGTGATGTGTGGATTCATGCTAGTGGACTGGCTGAAGGGTATGCAGTTCATAAAAAGGAAGAAGGTGTTGGTGATGATGAAGGTCCTCTGAACGTTTTCTACCTGTTTGCGTGCACTTCATGCTTCTACACACCAAGCTGAGTTCTTTTTTTGTTTCGTTATGCTTGTGTATACTCCAATACGTCCCTCAAAAAAGTGGGCTGCAGTGCTTAAACTCAGAAAGGCAAGGCTGTTTCTCCATTCAACAGCTTAGGCATCGGCCGCTGTCCCAGAGATGAATAAATTCAGATAGTTTTTGAAGGGTTTTCCTCCAAGAGGTCCAAAATAACCCACATCCTACTAATGCAGGGTAACTGGGTCAGTCATAGAGTCACACGTAGGGCCACACATAGTCTAAAGCTCTCTAATTTTTCACATGCAGAGAGATGAGCGTGTCAAGTGAAAAGAAGGAAAACAGGGATGGTGTTCATATTGTACACCTATTTAAATACCTAAGTATTTAATTTGTCAAAATCAAACTATGCTATACTGTATAAATAACACAATGAGTAGTGAATAGTAAATATATAAATAAAGTAATGCAATATGTGTTACTTTTTTTGTATTTTTTTCCTATTCACCCCTCCAAAAAATGTACTCACCCTCATGTTGGAAAATTAATAGTTTTTAAGCTTGGAAATGCTAACGTTATCATTTTTAGCGTGACTCATATCCAAGTGTACAAAATGTATCAAAAGATGTTAAAATTCATGTTGTATAGAATAATCTTTATGATATGATTTTTTAAATCTACTTTTTTTTTGTTTACAGTGAATGACGAAGAGCAACACAAACATTCTTTAAAACCTCTGATTTGTTTATTTGTTATGTAGAGGAAAGGTTTTAATCCAGAACAAACTGAGGGTGAGCAAAAGATGAACATATTACTTGAGTAACTCTTATAGCCAATACATTTAAGTCATCTTGCAGATACGTGCTATAGATTTAATTAGTCATCTCCAAGTTGTCTGTGGTTTATAAAGTGCTAAGGGCCGTGACACACCAAGCTGACAGTCAGCCATCATTTAACATCGGACATTCTGTGAGCTTCTGTTGGGCCAGTTTTTGCAGTGTGTTCTGCATGTCGGCTCTAGTCTATCTCACATCGACGGCGCTTCATCCGATTCAGCATGTTAAACCCACGTCAGGCCCTTTGGCGAGAAAGGCCTTCAGTTTAATTTAGTATATGAGTGAAGCGATTTTGATGAATGTGAATGAAGACAGTAAAGACAGAAGTCTGTTCTAATGTCTTGTCATCTTACCTGAGCACTTAAGTATGTGAGCATTTTTAAAACAAAATGAGCTGCCCCGAATGAAGAACAGTTTTTATAATCAGAATAGTCAGCACTTTTTTTATTATTTATGGTTTCTGTATCCACAGTCCTAGTTTCAGTTTCATTTGAATAAGAGATACAGTCTGTTTGTACCTGCTGATATAGTCAGTTGCTGCCCTACACGTAGGTGCAGAATGCAGATTTGCAGTTATCTGCAGTTATTTTGTTGTCTTCTATCACATTTTTTGGTAGATATGCAGCTGACATGATGAGACAACACAGTCAGCTTTTGTCGCCGCTAATTAGACATTGGCTTGGTGTGTCATGGACTTTATGTAGGAATATGGTTTAGGTAGAAGTTGTAGATTTAGAAATAATGGGCAATACATGATTATAAAAAAATAATAATATATGATAGTACTGATAATTAATAATACTAAAGCAAACAAAAAAAAAAACCATGCTTGACAGCAATTTCAGTTTTTTCAGTCAATTTTCTTTCTCCATATTGTTGTATTTATATTGATATAAAAGTGTATATTGCATAAATTAAGCTAATTTGAATCTACATAAAGTGGTTATGCTTGGTAAGACAACGATTTGAGGAATAAACTAGTTTTGTAATATATGTATGTTTAGTTCTAACATTTTCTTTCATTTAATTTGCTTAAAATTGTGGGTTAAAACTAGCTGAAAATATGATTTGAACTCATAAAATAACATATGTATCTGTATGGGATAATTACAATGTATGGAGAAAGTCCTCTACAAAAGATGCTGAGTGTGGCCCCAGTGAAGCGATGTTTTGCTGATGTAATAATCACGATTTCATGCACTGATGTTTTTCACCTGAAAAGTAAGAGTGTTTTCAGCTGCAAGATACCATCCTTTCCATAAGGTTAGTTTTCTTCCAATTTCAGTTTTGTTGCAGCTTTTCCAGTTGTCTTCTGTTTGATATGTTTATTTGTAGAAAAAAAAGAAGCAGTAGGTGCAATCAAGGAAAAGGGATCTATCAAAGGACTCGGCTCTTAAGAACAGTGCCAGGGGAAGACGGGGAATTGTGGATCTGATTCTCATTGCATCATCTTCAGAGAGTTTGAGGTCTTGTGCTTTGTGGAAGGCCTTGTTTTGAGAGTCATCGCGTCATCTGCCACCAGGATATCTGCAGCGAGAGACAGTAAAGAGAACAGAAAGGAGGTAAAAAAAAAAGGAAGAGACATAGATGAGTAATTGGTTGGGTGCATGTGGGACACAGGAGACACTCTGTGAAGTGAGTTCGCCAGTGATGTAAAGTGAGTCATGCCTGCTTGGGTGGTTGTTTGTCCAGAAGAATCCAAAAAAGGAGGGTGACCACCCTGCGCTTGTGAGTTGGCCATCATCCACACTAAGATTAGGAGCGACAGCGGTCGCCGCTTGGGGTAACACCATTTTCAGAATCAATTAAATACACACCACTGGAGAATGCTCATCACCTCATGTGATTAATGTCCACTACCTAAATTCCTCTCACACAATACTATTGAGCTGCACCACTGTCAACACCAAAGGTACTCACGGATTGCAGTATTTTTGTATTACAGTATGTCATTGACATAATCAATGACATAATCTATTTTTAGACATATGTATGTTTACGTTTGTCTAAAAATTAATCCCCTTCCCTCTGAAGTGATACGAAATGCAGCAAAATCATCATTGAAACTTCACCATATAATTTTATAACTGATTGATTGAAGCAACGCCTGTGTTTTTGATAATTTTCCTAAAAAATGTTGACCGCCCAGATTATTTTGTTGTATAAACATCTGAACATTCAGCAAGTTAAAAGACAGAACAGAGCCTCTGCTTTGTAAAAAACAGAAATTATTAATGTTGAGAAAAACCTGGTCAAATTCATAACAATGACCAAAAGCTTGGACATTCATTTATCGCTTGGTGGTTTCAACTGATCCTTAATAGTGCCCCCTGCCATATAACAGAGAAAGCATGAAAAGCCAAAAAAATGTTGTCAGTGGTGGGGAAGCATTTTGTTATACAGTAAATAACAAGAAATTTTGCCAATTGCAGGAGATGAGCGGACAAATAAATTTTACACCCAATTTTTCTTAACAGGTAAAAACAACATAGGAACACAATACCATGAAAGGACCGATGTAAGTGGGAACTTCTGCAGGCTCACTGTTCTTAATAATAATAATAATAATAATTATTATTATTATTAATTAATATTATTAATATTAATATAAATATATAATTAATATAATAATTATTATTAAACTGAATTGTATCAACATTTACAGGCGTTTCAAATAATATATTATCAAAAAATAGTGCAGGCTCATTACTCGATTTGTGTCCATTATTCCTATAGTTTCATGACCAACCAAGACATTACATTTAATTGCTTCAAACTATTAAAAATGTCAAAATACCTTTGTTGATCCTAACCTTAACCCTAACCCACATAGAATATGTGCCTGATGAAAACAGCAGAAAACAGCTAATTAACACAGATTTTTGAGCCTGTTATTTAATTTATGTATTTACTTGTGTAAAGGAATATATACTTGCAATTATTTGTTAATTTCAGTAATATTATAAAAAAATATGCATTTCTTAATTATTTATGAACAATACAATTTGTATTTTTTTTTGTCTTTTTATATGATGCATTATTTGAGATAGACACTGTAGCTTTGTTTACAAAACAAGTGCTTAAAAATAAATAAAATAAATAAATAAATAAATAAATAAATAAGGTGACACAGTGGCACAGTGGGTAGCATGATCGCCTCACAGCAAGAAAATCACTGGTTCAAGCCTCGGCTAGGTCAGTTGGCATTTCTGTGTATAGTGAGCATGTTCTCCCTGTGTTCCTGTGATGTGGGTTTCCTTCGGGTGGTCCGGTTTCCCCCACAGTCCAAAGATATTTGCTATAGGTGAATTGGGTAAGCTAAATTGGCTGTAATGTATATGTGTGGTTTGAGTTTGTAAGGGTGTTTCCCAGTGATGGGTTGCATCCGCTGCAAAAAACATATGCTGGATAAGTTGGCGGTTCATTCTGCTGTAGCGACCCCAGATTAATAAAGGGGCTAAGTCGAAAAGAGAATGAATGAATGAGTGAATAAATAAAAAAATGAATAAAATAAATAAATAAATAAATAAATGTAGATCATCTTTGAGCTAAAAAAAACTAAACAGGAAAACTACAGGAAACTGTTAATTTTTTTTTTTTTTTTTTTGGCCGGAGATACAACAAGCATTATTGATGATAATCAATATGTTGAAATCGTCTATAGGTATGCAACATAAATTAACGTTAAGAATATTTCCCTTTTCCTCTTTGCTTATTGCTTTTTTTTGTCCACCGCCTTTTCCTTCCAGCCATTTCATTTGCAAAATGGGTAATGACATGATTTTGTTAGGTGTTAAATAATGGCACAAACAGAAGTAAAAGGTCAGCCAAAAGACTGTGCGCACTTTCTTAATGCCAGCAGAGAGTTTGCGTTGGCGCAAGCTGTTAACAAATCTCTCCCATAGTGGGTTGGAAATATTTATTTATGTAATATGTCATATTATATTTGATTCTGACTGGTTTTTAAAATAAATCACACTGATGGAAAATAGTTAATCACCAGAAACCCAAGCTGAGCTGTTAAAGTCGCAGTGCTGTGCTGATGCTTTGAGACATAAATAAAAACATACAAACCAGTAAGAAATATTTACAGTATGTTTGATCAGCTTTCTCAAGTCATCCTCCATTGACAGATCCAGACTTTGTTGATGGCTCTTAATTGAAATAAATGTATACAACTTTGTTCAAATGGTCTAGACTATCTTTCAAACAGTTAGAAAAACAAACTGAACCATGCATTTATGTATTTAAGAGAGTTCTTTTATATATATATATATATATATATATATATATATATATATATATATATATATATATATATATATATATATATATATATATATATATATATATATATATAAAAATTAAAAAAAAACATGGCCATTGGCAGTTCAGATCAGGATTACAGTCTAAATGCTATATTATCTGAATTCAGTGGTGTTGTATCCAAAAGGTAGGGCTTGTAGTGAAGGCTACAGCTGGATGATTCATGCTTCCCCACACTTTCCTGCATGTGGGTGGGCCATTAGGCAAAAACTTCTGCTTGGCATGTACAGTAACTGCTACTTTAAGAAAACAAGCTCTCAGTGTACAAAAAAAGTCCCATTCCAGTCAATCAAGTTGTAAGGGGGTTTGGATACATGCAACATACTCTGGTTTGTTAATATCCTCTCTTTCGTTTAAACAGCCCCACAGTATAATAATCACTGTCTGCCATATGTGTCTAATACATCAGCGTCCGCTGAGAACCATGTGCTGCCGCCTGTCTCTCTCTCTTTCTCTGAATGTGGGTGTGTATGCCATCCAACACTATCAAAATGTCTATTATAGTAATTTTGGTGTTGTTTGTGGTGTATTAAAAATCCCCCCAAAAATGACAACAGTGTGAAGTGCTTGCAAACTTTACTTGGCGCACTGTAAATCATGGCACATGTAAACCTTTATACACATACGCTTTACATTCTCTTCCGAATTAGATGTAATTATTTTTGATGAAATCTGCATCATATAATTTAACTCGTTATTTTGTCTTTTTTAAATGTACTATAACATGCTTTGGTTTTGTGGTTCCTACAGTTTTGATTACTAGAGCTTTACTGCAGTATTAATACTACAATATTATCATAGCAAAACCATGTTTTTTTTATACCATGGGTTTTAAAACCCCCAATATGTACCAACATGTACCATGTTCCTAAAGTGTTATCATAGTACGAGACTCTTACTATAATAAAAATAAATAATAAAATTGGGATTTCATTTCCCTGAAATTTAGTGCTAATGTGTATGCCAGACAAAGGGGTTATTTAACAACGTGAAGTAGGCACTCTCTGAATTAGGAGTATATTTATGATGCCTAAAATCTAGTTCATTGGTATTTGAGACAGAACAAAATAATAGACCAGCATTTTGCTCAGCGATGTCGGTCAATGAGTTTCAAATGCAATGGCACTTAAGAACCTCAAAGTCTAATGTCTCCCTATCTCTAACCCAAAACAGCACTATTACATCTGAATGTCAAAGGTAACCAATAGCACTAACCACCCATGTTATCCAGGGGGAATTGGTGAAACCGATTAAATGGATCTCTTCAGAGTTAGAAATTACTTGAGGTTAGGACATATAGATATTTTTTTTTATCCCTAATGCTTTCATAACCATTCATTTCTTCAAGCAATTGCACATGTGAAATTCAATATCAGACCATCAGAATAGTTTCTGTGTCGAGAATGTATTCATCTACAGAAGTATCTATGTAAGACTGAGCTCAGTTAGCGTCCTCTGTGACTACAAACTTGAGCTTTTCAATGTGACCCACGGACAGGATATTACCATTAAAGTGGGAATTTTGTTTTTATCACTGGCAATGAAGAGTGCAGTGTAATGGAGGAGATGACTCTCAGAGAAGCTTCTAAGCCAGGTGCTAGCATCTGAGCTTGCTGTCTCATCAATAATTGACAGCATCAAACCAATCAGAACAATTTGCTCCCCACAAAGCGAAGTGCTAGAGCAGGCTGGAGGTGCTTAATCATTAATGAGGCAATTAGTTGAAACTGTTACACCTGGCCCAAGTCGTTTGCGGAGTGGCCGCTTGTCTGACGCTACACCAGAGAACTCTCAGAGATATCAACTGACAAGAGTCCTAGCAGGGTCATTTATTGACAAAAAAGAGTGGTGCCTGATACTTCTACAAAACATTTCCCTTAACTAACTTGTATGTGTTTTGCTAGATTTGTGACAAGAGACAATCTTACAGAGAAGACGGTCCTGTTTGATGATGTTTTAAAATGAATTACGTGACCATATTTTTTGTGGTAGACAATCCATTGACCCAAGATTGATGTAACTGCACTCAAACATGGTAAAAAACAACAAAGCATTCTTTTGAAGTTTGAAATTTCAAGGCTTTAGAGGGAGATTCAAGTTCTAAGAGGTCCTCCTGGAGAGAGTCATCGACTGTCCGTATTGGAAGATTTGATGGATAATCAATTCTTCCTCCCTGTCAGCTTTTTTAAGTTCTTGAGAAC